TTGTTATTTTGAGTTTTGTATAATATTCTTTTAAATGGTGAATTACTACTTTATGAAAATAACTAAACCTGTATATAAACAAGGTATGTATATAATGAATGGTTAGTTTAGCATTCCAGTAGAAATAAATAGACTTTTTCTTAAGAGTCTCCATATTTTAAGTATTTAGTTACTAAATACTTGCGTAATTCAACCATTCAATGACAATGAAAACGAGAATTTTGATATAAACACCTTTGTTCATACACATTGTCCTGGTTTTGGCTGGGCATCGGTCAGCGGGTGGTGAGCAATTGCATTGTGCATTACTTATTTTGTATATTCTTTTATCATTATTATCATTATTATTATTTTGCCTTCCTTTTCTGTCCTATTAAACTGTCTTTATCTCAACCCATAAATTTTACTTTTTTTTTTTTCCCCGATTCTCTCCCCCATCCTACTGGGGGGGCAGAGGAGGACTGAGCGAACGGCTGTGTTTAGTTGCCTGCCGGGTTAAACCGCAACACACATTTGCAAAAAATTTGAAAACTCACTGTTTGGAGTTGTAGCTGCAAGCTTACAAATTAAACAGCAGAAACCTGCAAATACCAGTAGGTCAAATTTCTTGTTAACTGTCCTTTCAGTAAAAGCTGCTGACTTTCTGACATCTTCAGAGTTGTCAAAAGGCATTATCACAAAGCAAGCTTAGCCCTTGTAACGCTTTCTGTCTATAAAGAGAGGGAGTTTTATGCCTATGGCTTGAAAAGAAGGCATACAGTGATTGCACACATTTATCTTAGTCAAAGCTGTGATGAGATAAATAAAGGGGGTTTTGTACACATGGAAATCTGTAATCCATAATATTCCCAGCAGACTGAATGTAAATGAAATTCTCTCCTGGTTTTGCAAACCTCAGTAACGATATTTCACAATTTTAGAAAACATACACACATACCAGAACATATGAACATCAAACATGCAGATAAATAGGCAGTGGAATACAAAAAAGCACAGGTAGATTTCCACGTAGGCAGTGTTGTTGACTTCACATCAGAAAAAGCAAAACTATAAAGTCATTGTATGTCTTGCACATATGCTGCTATATATGCATAGCAGATACATAAAAATGCAGTCTTGGAGCATATATTCGCTATTTTCAAATCTATAAAAAATCTTCCATATACATATACCAAGAGCACTCCTACACAGTGCCTGTACTCCCATGGAGACACCAGGTAGACACAAATTGTATGTCACTTATGTAAGCCCGTGGTAATAGAGACACTAAAGGTTTCACTGTATGGCTTTCACAACTATGATAGGCATCAAGAGCCCCGCCTCATTCCATTGCTTTTTGCACCCTTCAGCAAACCCCGAGCACTGCCTCGTCATTTGCCTCTGGATGGCCTCAGCCCAAGCCCTGGGAGACCTTTGGACCTACAGATCCTACTACGCTGACGAGACATGAAATCCCACCAAGGAAGAAGAGCACTATGGTCCTGACTGTTCTGCTGCATAAAGCCCCTTCTCAGCAGCAACCTTAAAGAAGACAGGCTCTATACTACACACGCAGACCTGAACGGAAAAGAGGTTCCTAGCAGCCACCATCTGCGCTCTAAAGGCACAAAATGTGTAAGGAGAAGCTTGAAAACAATTTAAATATGAAAGCACCTACTAAAAGGTACATGAAATATTGACAAAGACTGTTGAATCACTTTTTCGATTTAAAAGCACCTACCTGGACAAAACTTGGTATTTAGCAACTCAGTACAAGAAAGAGACAAAAATTAAACATATTTGACTGTTTTGTCCTAGCAGATATAAGTCACTTCAAAATGCTTCAAAACAATGATTTTGGGCCAATATGAACCACAACAAATATGCATACTCCTCAGAAGAAATTGAAAAAATAAAAGTGAGACTTTTTGTCTCAGAAGAAATGTTGATAAATCCAAACCACTCTAATTTATTTGAAAAATAAGTCTATCCAAAATATTTAATCAAAATAATACTTTCTGTAACTTTTGAGATTTCTAGGAGCAATAATAAGTGGAGCCAGCCATTCCTTAATATCAGAGGCATTATTAGGTACACTAAAGGAAGTGCCCTTTTGCACGAGAATTAAGCTTGCTTAAGGTCACACAATCAGCCAGACACAACCATTAACTGGAACCAAGTCTTCACAATCAGTCTACTGCTTTAATTAGTAGCTTGGCCTTCCTAGACATGAAAAATCACAGTCTCCTCTGCCTCTGAATTATTTTTTAATTTGATAAAACTGAATTAACAGTATGTGCTATTCATGGATGTCATCTATGGACACAGATTTGATACAGATGCTCCTAATATTCTTTTTTCCCCTTATATTTCATCTGTATGAATCACTGCCTGGGTAGGCACCATCTGTTCATTGTTCTCTGTTGCCAGAATGGGCCACTTCAGAAGGGGGGGGGGGGGGGAATCAGTGTCATAATTTCCTGAACAATGCAAATTCTGAGCTTAAGGCAACACAGCTACTTGAAGACTGGGATTAAATCCCTATTTAGACTTCTCGCTATTCAAAATAGTTTGGGTTGTTTACATCTTTCAATATAAGACTCTTTTTCCAGAACCTCTGTAGTTCTTCTGCCCCTTTTTTGAACATCTTTCCAGCACGTTGACACATGGAAATTACAGACCCCAAACCTTGATGCAAGTATTTGTTGTACTCTCACAAACACTCAGTACAAAAGTAGCAACATCAAGTTGTACCCTCTGGTTAGTGTCCTGTCTATACATCAAAGAATTTCATTTGCCCCGTGACCTCAGCCTTGCACTGGCGGCTCATGTTGAGTTGGTTGTTTATCGTACTATATGAGCATGAATCTCTCTAAGCAAGTGAGACACACTGCTGTGTAATATGGCTCTCCTCTTATAATTTCCTATTCCACCTATTTCTATCATTTGCAAATTGTAAGTAATACTTTTCTTCATACCCTTGTTGAGAACAACAGATTTAGCCGTTTATTTTTGTAGTTTACCTCTTTGATTTCTGTCTGCCTACAAAGAATGCAGGCAAAGAAGAGATTTTTAGAGCAGGAAAAAAAAGCAGTAAGAATCTAACCTACCCAACAGAGAACACCAAGGACTCTGTAAAAGATGAGTGCAGAGGCTGTTAATCAGGAAGTCAAATGTGTCCACCCACATAATATGGATATATTCTCACGAGGCCAGAGCCTAGCAAAGAGACATTAAATTGTTAAAGCGGGTGGCTATCCTCAGGAGTTGCACAGGGTGGAAACAGAAGAGAGCAGTCAAATCCAAGCTAAAGGACGTCCTAAATTCAGCTGTGAATTCCTTCGGGCAGGGACCTTTGTTCCGTGCTCATCAGCTCACGGGTCCGTAACGGCAGCCTGCAGAGGCTGCGTCCGTGGCAACGGAAGAGACTGGCCAGCGCACGTGAACGCCTCCCCCTTCACCCCGCCGGGTCACCCCACCATCTGTGAGCACCGTGTCGCTTCTTCCCCCAACACCCGAAGTAATTGTGCAGTCAAGCGCTTATCTAACTTACTGCCTACTTCAATTTTAAGACGCTACTTGCCCCTACCACCTGTGAGAAAACGGCACTTACTCCGTCGCAGACCGATACGTACTCCAGGGCCAGCAATACCTCACCCACTTTATTCATTCGCCAGTACACGCCGGACCGTGGTATCCCTGGCGCCCTTCCAGCGCGGGGGAGCTCCGCCCCAGCCCCCCGCCACCGGCACCCACTGCATTT